CGGGGTGCAGCAGTTACAACTATGGAATTATAAGAATTTGCCATTAATTATGCAAATTAGGTCAATTTTCTGTGGAATCATGAAATCATTCTCTTTAATAGTATAGGATTCTTTTTTCAGACAATGTGACAGACAACAGTGTGCGTGCCCTACCTGTACAACTCTGGCCATCTCCAGCAAAACCATCCTGGCAGGTACAGGTGTAACTTCCCTCTGTGTTCGAGCAGATCGCGTTGGCATGGCAGCTGTGTGATCCCTGCAGGCACTCATTTACATCTGTAACAAAATGAAATGCTGTCAGATATGCATTAACACTATAGTGCAAGAAGTTAGTTCACTGCTATTAAGTTAAGAACTTGTCCCTGTGCAATGATATTCAGAGTTTCTGATAGCCACTACAGCACAACTAACCAGAACATGATTATGGGTTCACCACACCACGAAGTGGTGGTGAACCCATATTGCTTTTTCTGATGTTTCTTCTTCTTCTTCTTCTTCTCCTCCTTCTCCTCCTGCCATTTTTTAAATGGATTCAGCTTCTTCATTTTAGGGCCTAAGGTCCTGAAATTTGGTATGGAGGTACAGTGGGAAAATACCCCTAGGCGTTTTTTAAATTTTTGTGATACAGGCTTTTAGAATGGTTTTATTTGAGTTTTTTGGCTGTGTTATAGCAAATGTATTACTGTGTTAGTGTGCCGTGTTTACCACGTCTGGGCATGAGTCATCACAATGGAATGCAGGGCATCAACCAATAGGCATGCAGCTTTCCTCTATACTTCTTGCTGATTGGCTGTTAGGATTTAACTTGATTAACACCTGCACAGAGCATTTCCACCTGCACAGAGCATTTCTTGCTGATTGGCTGTTGGGATTTAACTTGATTAACACCTGCACAGAGCATTTCCATACTGACAGTATGTCTTTATTCAAGTGTTTTGGTAGGTATTTCAAGCGTTTCTGCTCCAGCATTGGAATGCGGGGCATGAACGTTTTTTTATTTACTTTGAAAATCAACAGTTTGCATTATGCAATTAAAAATCCTAACCAATAAAGTAGGGAATAGCTATCCAACTGTTGTTTTAGTTGTATGTTACTTCATATTATAGTTATATCAATGTAAATCATTGTTTTCCCTTGTGTTTCTCATTCTTTCCCTACCATGTCGTAAAATGTGGTGAACCCATCGCTGTATTTGCTCCAAAGCAAATATTGGCCTTTCTAGTTTGAAAAATATCCTCTGCAACAGGCAAAATTCTAATGCAACGTTGACCAAAAATCCATGGAAAACCGTGAAAATACAGGGTTCTGCGCAGGCGCAGTACGTTCTGCCGACGTGCTTTTGGTACATACCTGGCTTTTCCCACGTGACCGTGACATCAAGCGTATAGGGCCGCGCATGCGCTGTGTGCCATGTTGCTGCGATGCTGTCAGGGCTTACCCGCGGAGGATGCCGGGATTGGCCTGTTGAGTCAGAAAGGATGGCTCATTATATAACAGAGATAGCTCACTGATAAACACACATATCCAAACTGAAGATGACTCGTCAGTTCCGCACATCTATGACTTGACAAAACAGCAAAGGCTTTGTTAGATGTATCATATACCCTGGATGCCAAACTAGTATCTGGCCGTTAGCCGTTTTCCTTCGGCAGCCGAGAGCCCTTCGAATTCGCCCGCTGGTGTAAATTACCGCTACGGGTGAGTTGAACCCGAGGGGTTTGTCCGGCCCTTTACTCGTTTGTCCGGCCAGCCAAACTCCCCCGAAAACGAGTTCTGGATTCCAGGGTATGTATCATACGGCCACAGCAAGTATATTTTATTGATGACATCCTCCGCAGACTCCAAATCCAATGCGATAGGGAAAAAATAAAAACTTAAACAAGGCGGGTCCAAAAAGCAAGATTCCTACATTTTCAAATTTCTACCATCATAAACCTTCTTAACAAGAATTGATACCTACATTTTGCTCAGTTTACTGCCAACTATAATGCATCACTGCATCAAAGACAAAACGTTAATTCAGAGCATTGTCTTGTCTCCTCTCTTCATATTTATCTGCCATCCACGTTCCGGCATGGCAACAGACATCTTTGCCCATTTTTGGCATGTTGACCACTGTCCCAGGGCAAGAACATTTCTTGTTTTTATTTCAAAATCAGGCGACAATTAATGCGCGCGCTGATGTCATCCATAAGAATTACTTGCTGTGGCCTAACGATTGAAATTGCTGCAGGCACGGCCGATCGTAAATAAACAACATGCAGAAGTACTTAGGCCACAGCAAGTAATTTTTATGGATGACTTTCGCGCGCACATTAATTTTCGCCTGATTTTGAAAAAAACAAACAAGACATTTTGTTGCCCTCTGACAGTGGTCAACATGCCGAAAATGGGCAAAGATGTCTGTTACCATGCCGGGAGGCAGATAACTGAAGAGAGGAGACAAGAAAAAGGTCCGATTTAATGTTTTGTTTCTTACTTTGATGCAGTGATATGTGATGCTGGCTGTGTATATGATGTTCGCATTGAATAAAAACCATTTGTACAATGATTGAGTCAACATTTTAAAATGTAGGAACCTTGTTTTTTTCGGCCCGTCTTGTTTTTTTTCGCCCGCTCGCATTAGATTTGGAGTCGGCGGAGGATGTCATCCATAAAATTTACTTGTTGTGGCCTTACAATGTACCATCAGTGGCTGTTTATCTTTTCGGACATCTGCACCTACACAGTTGCCACAGTCAATATTGTACATCCATTTGTCACAATACTGAACTGCGCCAGGTGCTACTTGTCACAACTTTGCTGGGTATTTGATACATTTGTAGCTCTACGAATTTATTTGTACACAATAGTGTACAAACAAACAAACGCACATTTGTCACAACCCTAGGGCCTACATGTATATGTCAAGGGGGAGATTGGAATCCAGGGGGATCCGGAATCCTCCTGGGAAAGATTGGAATCCCTATCTCCCCTAGGAGAATCTGGAATCCTCCTAGGGGAGATAGGGATTCCAATCCCCCCTAGGGGAGACTGAAATCCTCCTAGGGGAATATGGAATCCACCTATAGCAGAGATTGGAAACTTTCAATCAACTTCAGCATAGGCAAGCCTATTACTATTGTAGGTGAATTACTAGATTGGAATCAAGATTTGTCCTCGCATTATTTGCTGTTCTAATTCCATAATTGAAATCTTTCCTAACTTAGACCCAAATATATTTCCAACTGGAAAAACTGGTTTTTGAGTCACTATCTCACAATGGCCTGATGCAAATATCTGAGTCTAATTTACATATTCACTTACCTATGCTGAAATTGATTGAAACTTTAGGTGTGAAATAACTCAGTATATTTTCCCGAGAATTTTGATGCAATCAGAGTTTCTCCTTTTAGAATTGGAGATTGTCCTGTAAGAATTCCCACTTGTCCTTGGCCAAATTGGAATCCCTATCTCCCCTAGGAGAATCTGGAATCCTCCTAGGAGAGATTGGAATTCAGACATTCAGATCCCAGTTTTGTACCAAAAAACTTGAATTCAAGTCTCCCCTAGGGGAGATTGGAATCCCTATCTCCCCTAGGATGATTCCAGATTCTCCTAGGGAAGATAGGGATTCCAATCTCAGGAGGATTCCGGATCCCCCTGGATTCCAATCTCCCCTGTGACATATACATGTACATGTACTGTAAGTGTAACCTTTGTGCGGATACATTGGTCGGTCACCTCTGTTTGAACAACATGTATCAAATGGTCTGCAGTACTTCGGCTTGCTCCTTAGGCCACACCGACTTAATTTTATGGATGGCATCCTCTGAAGACCACCAAACTAGTGCGCGCGGGCGAATAAAAAAAATTCCGGCCAAAAATAAAAATGCTACTAAAGCACAGGAATGCAAAGCTCAGGTATTGTGAATTTGCGGCAGTACATAGCGACGTATACGACAAGCCGGCATATGCTGGCTTTTTGCGGATATTATGAATTGGCACTGTACGTATGTACTTAGTTCTTGAGTCGTGGAGCTTCGGCAGCCTGGGTGCCATCCTCCAGAGTTACCACCGGCTCCGTATTGTCGCTAACTACCTTGGACTACCCAGGCCTAGAGCCAGGCCAGAGCCTCGGAGGACGTGATCTTCTTTTTTTTTTGAGAATAGGCGAAAATCAATGCGCGCGCGGATGTCATCCATAAAATTAAGGCGGTGTGGCCTTAGAATGACAAACAAGTAATTTGACACTCTTTAAGACTCGTTGTTACCACATTTTTCTACATCGACGTGCATGTTTCTACAAAACACACGGAGTGGTCAGGGACAGATTTGCTCTCAAACGTCAATCACGATTAGGCCACAGCAAGTAATTTTTATGGATAACATCAGCGCGCGCATTAATTTTCACCTGATTTTGGAACAAAAAACAAGAAATTTTGTTGCCTTCTGACAGTGGTCAACATGCCGAAAATAGGCAAAGATGTCTGTTGCCATGTCAGAAGGTGGATGACAGGTAACTGTGAAGAGAGGAGACAAGAAAAGGCTCTGATTTGATGTTTGGTTTCTTACTTTCATGCAGTGATATGTGATGCTGGCTGTGTATATGTGATGTTCCCACTGAATCAAAATCATTTGTACAATGGTTGAGTCAAAAATTTTAATAGTATGAACCTTGTTTTTTTCTCGCCCGCTCGCATTAGATTTGGAGTCTGCGGATGATGTCATCCATAAAATTTACTTGCTGTGGCCTTACTCAGGCGCAACGACTGTACGGTTCTTATGAAAACCGTATGTCGGTGTCGTGTTCAAATGTCAAAGTCAATTGTACACGAGTCTAACCCACGCACCAATGTCAAACTACTATCGGGCCGTTAGCCGTTTTTGCTTCGGCAGCCAAGAGCCCTTCGCCCGCCTATCTAAATTACCGGTACGGGGGAGTTGAGCCCGAGGTGTTTGTTCGGTCCTAGAACCAAACTCCCCCCGGGCTAGACTTCCCCGTAGCGGGCGAAGGGCTCTTGCGGCCCGGAAAACGAGTTCTGGATTCCAGGGTACAAGGACTCGGACCAATATACAGGTCATCATATGTCAGAACTAGAAAAGAGCAGTAGATATTGAAACAATCTATTGTATCATGCACAACCGTGTCTATCCAGTTCTATTCCCAAATCGGTAAGGACCAGGTACTGTCCTGTATACTGTAATTCCTGATTTTTTTAATGGTACTTTTATGTTCACTGTTTTCAGTGTCATTACAGTAAACAAATAAATCCCTGGACTTTCTTTTTCCTACACCTGTCATCACCGTGAATATATAGTTACATGAACATGTCCACTTTTCCCACACCGTGAAATTTTGCTATTGTGAACATAAAGTGAATTACAGTAGTCTACTAGATTGTCCCCAGACACTGTTTTGGATACGCGTGGACTATCCAGAGCCTCTTAGGAAAAAACAACAGTATCTTCTCTTACCTGACACAGCCGACATGAAAATGGTGCACTGCACATACACCAGCGCTGCTGCTGCGAGGATAGAACAAGATGACCGGGCCATGGGCTCGTTCGAATGCCGCTTACTCAGTAGCCGTTACTGTTGTTCTTCAACTTCAGTGGTTAAGAACGCCAATTTTAGAGTCTTTTGATACTTCAGGTTCTCCCAAGGTTAGGGACTGCTCCCTAAAGAGGCTCCTGAGTTGGAATGTAGCCTAAGAAACGTCGCGTGCGTGCATGGGGATCTTTCCTTATAACCACTGGAAGGTCCTGGTACGGTACTTGTGTGTTTCCGGTATGAGTCATGAGCCACCGAACACTATCAGCCGCCGGGCGGATAGACGCAGTGCAGAAAGCCGAGTGCGTAAAGCAAGAAGCCCCGGACGGAAGGCCACTGCAAGTAAATGTTATGGATGACATCCTCCACAGACTCCAAATCGTATGCGATAGGACGAAAAAAAGGCGAGCCAAAAAAAAAAACAAGATTCCTATATTTTCAAATTTTGACTTTATAAACCTTGAATGATACCTAATAGTATATTGTGCAAAATTTACTGCCAATTATTACGAAATCTATTTGTCACTGAAACAACTTTGAAACGTTTTTAATCATTGAACAAGTGGTTTTGATTGAGTGGGAACATCACATATACACAGCCAGCATCACACAAGAGGAAGTAAATACATCACTGCATCAAAGTAAAAGACGAAGCATTAAATCAGAGGCTTGTCTGTTCTCCCTTTCCATGTCTATCTGCCATCCACGTTTCGACATGGTAGGACGTGCCATTTTGCCCCTTTTTGGCATGTTGACTGTCAAGAGGGCAACAAAATCTGGCGAAAATCAATGCGCGCGGTGATGTCATCCATATAATTAGATCAACGTGGCCTAAGTAGGGCTAACACTGAGCAGCTGGCCGGTCTCACGATCACCGGCGGGAAGACACAACACGTCACGACACTGTTCGTGTCAACATTCAAGAGGTGAAACAGAACGATGTATCAACATACAGACTCCATGCCTGTAGCCAGGATTTAGAATGGAAGGGTTCTTCCCACTACTTGAGGGGACCAGGTTCCTAAGGGGTTCCGGGGGCATGGTCCCCCAGAAAATTTTGAAAAAAAAAAATGAACATTCTGAAATGGCATTTCCTGCGTTCTTGAGAAGATTTCAGAAGAAAAAAAAAATCAAAGATAACTTTTTATTCAATGATAGAGTGAGCAGTTTTTCTACGATTCCAGTCCCGCTGGTGATACGAATCAGTCGATCTTTTAAGAAAAATCTTGGACCTTTACATAAAAAAATGGACCAAAAAGTTGACCTTTGAGCTTCCACCCCCCCACCACCACCCCCACCCCCATCCCCCCCCGGCTACGGCCATGGGCTCTGAGTTCCCACAGGATAAGGGTGGATGGGGAAGTTAGAAATAGGATTTGAACAATTACCGTAACAATTTAAAGCTTCATTATGCAATGTTAAGACGATAGAAAGAGTCAATTTTCTGGCCATTTCTTCACAAGGTAACTTCAATCAAACCCACATCACTTCCTTGCACCGTACCATTCAGGAAGTGGAGGTGCCAAAGTATTATATTACGCCATTCGAGTGTGTTTAAAAAAGCTGGAAACACATGTCAGCCATGTTTGCTTACATTCTGGTAGTTTGTGGTGGTTGACGTTGGTTAGTACGTGTTCGTGTGTGTTACTCGTACCGGAAGTTTTTGTGTATTTTTTCTTAATTTAGACAACGTGAAGTGCATATGAAAAGTCAAATTCCACCTAGCCTCCACCAGGCCTTTCTACGGGAATACGGATCGTAGAATTCGGCAAAAAAGAGAGTAAAATCGACCAAGGGAGTCCGGCCGCGGGGAGGTAGTTTCTTTCCCTGCGCGGCCTGTCAAACCTACAAGGCGGCCCGGCAAACTCCCCCGGCAACTATTCTCCTATATATAGCCAGCGTAGTTAGTCTGGTAGAGACTATATTCCAACTATATTTCAGTCAACTTTATGTAGCAAATTTACAGGAAGTTCTAGCTCCCTCTCGCATTAGTATCCCCACACGTATTTCCCTTAGGATGCCGGTTGGGTTTTCCTGAACACCCCCGCATCCACGTTATTTTTAGCCATGACCTCCCGGTGCCAACCTGTACCCTTCTCACTCACTTCCTTGAGTCCATCTCACCTCTAGTAAATCTCCAGTCCCTAACTTGAACTGATTATCAGACCTATTCAAGCTTTATGTTAATATTGAGCTTCCGAGTCTGTATCCTCTGTGGAGAGGACATGATGCCAATTTTTGTATGGGGGCCTGCGAGGGGGGGGGGGGGGCGACAACGCTCTACGCTAAATTTTGAGAGCTGGCTACGTTGAATTCAGGAAAACTCTCAATTACGCTTTACGTTAAATTCCAAGTGGCTACAACGCATTACGTAGAATTAAAACGGCGAATTACGCTCCACGCAAAATGCACCAATTACATAATATGTACGTTCTACGTTGAATAGATAGAGTGGTTCGTCTACGCTCTACGTAAAATTAAAACCGCCGATTACGCTCTACGGAAAAGGGCATGCAGGCCTCCTTGTATCTTTTGCAATCTTGCCTAAAAACCTTGGCGTAGCATTGGTAAAATAAATTAAATACCATTTGTTACACTCACTCCGAGAAATTTACCTTTAGTGTATTTGCTCCGGCTGCTATAATATACATTTACATTTATTTTTAAGGACGTAACGTCTGATGTCAAATTTTCCAAAACCATTCGGGCAAGCGGGCAAGTGACGACCATTGTCAACACCATTAGGGAAACTAGAATGATCATGAGCACATATCAGTACCAGGCGTAACTGCGTAGGTACACTCATTACTGTTTCCGGTTCCGCCCACCCGTCTGCCACCTTTGATACCCACGGATCGTTTCCGTATACACACTCAGGTTTCCTAAGGCCACAGCAAGTAATTTTTATGGATGACATCAGCGAGCGCATTAATCTTCGCCTGATTTTGAAAAAAAAAAGAAATTTGCCCTCTGACAGTGGTCAACATGCCTAAAAAGGGCAAATATACCTGTTGCCATGCCGGAACGTGGATGGCAGATAACTGTGAAGAAAGGAAACAAGAAAGGCTCTGATGTAATGTTTTGTTTTTCACTTTGTTGCAGTGATATGTGATGCTGGCTGTGTATATATGATGTTTCCACTGAATCAAAAGCATTTGTACAATGATTGAGCCAAATGTGGGAACCTTGTTTTTTTTCGGCCCGCCTTGTTTTTTTTCGCCCGCTCGCATTAGATTTCAAATCTGCGGAGGATGTCATCCATAAAATTTAATTGCTGTGGCCTAATGCAGCAATTTCGCGTCATCACATCAATTTGCTAGCCTCCTGTGCAGGCTCTGGGCGAGTGGGAGTTTGACCCTGCGTTTTGAATGGTATTTGATTTGTTTGACCAATGCTACGGCAAGGTTTTTAGGCAAGATTGCAAAAGATACAAAAATTGGTATCATTACCTTCGCCAAGAAGTTATGTTTTCGTTGGCGTTCGTGTGTGTGTGTGTGTGTGTATGTGTGTGTGTGTGTGTGTGTCAACACGATAACTCAAGAAGGCTAAGATGGATTGTCCGTGTATATTTGGTAGGTGGGTAGGTCTTGATGACACCTGGGACTTAACATACCTCTACAAAACGCAGGCTCAAACTCCCACTCGCCCAGAGCCTGCACAGGAGGCTAGCAAATTGATGTGATGACGCGAAATTGCTGCATTAGGAAACCTGAGTGTGTATACGGAAACGATCCGTGAGTACTATAGTATTAAAGGTGGCAGACGGGTGGGCGGAACCGGAAACAGTAATGAGTGTACCTACGCAGTTACGCCTGGTACTGATATGTGCTCATGATCATTCTAGTTTCCCTAATGGTGTTGACAGTGGTCGTCACTATCCCGCTTGCCCGAATGGTTTTGGAAAATTTGACATCAGACGTTACGTCCTTGAAATCTAATTGTATATCATAGCGGCCGGAGCAAACACACTGAAGGTCAATTTCCCGAAGTGAGTGTAACATAGAGTTTTTAACACGTTTTGATAGACGGCCATCATACATTTGTACCACTAGCCGCCAAGAGAAGTTTGCTATCCCGGTATCAAAACTCCCACACAATAGCCACATTTACAGGACGTGTTAAAAGGGTCTGAGATCATTTTTTTGTACCATGGTATATTTTAAAGTATCATTGGTATTACTGTGTAGATCAGTATTGGCTATCAGTTATTTAGACCAGGGCCCGTGCACGATTTGTATCTACATCGATGTGATGTATGTTAGGCCACAGCAAGTAATCTTTATGGATGACATAAGCGCGCATTTTCGCCTGATTTTGGAAAAAAAAAAAAATTGTTGCCTTCTGACAGTGGTCAACATGCCGTAAATGAGCAAAGATGTCTGCTGCCATGCCGGAAGGTGGATGGCAGATAACCACGAAGATTTAATGGTTTCTTTCTTACTTTGATGCAGTGATATGTGATGTTGACTGTGTATATGTGATGTTCCTACTGAATCAAAACCATTTATACAATGACATTGAGTCCAAATTTTAAATTGTAGGAACCTTGTTTTTTTCGGCTCGCCTTATTTTTTTTCGCCCGCTCGCATTAGATTTGGAATCTGCGGAGGATGTCATCCATAAAATTTACTTGCTGTGGC